GTGTTTCCAGCGTTCCCGATCCTGCATCAACGTCTGATCTTCCGTGGAAATAAACTTAAGAGCAGATCACAGTGCGTTGAGGCATTTGTCCAACGTGATTCCTTGCCATCACCGGGGTCATCGGTTAGTCGGCGTCTTTCTTTTAAAAGCGCTTAACTGTATTTAAGTAAAATGAAATAGATTTCCACTGGGCTATTTCTGTGATGTCGTGGTTTACTGTATTTGCTTATTGAAGCTATGTGAGTCTCACTTTGCTGTATTTAACTTCCGCTTCTAATTTTCTGTCCGAAGAAGGCTGTTGTATGGCCAAAACGTTGACAACAGTGTTATAAAGGTTTCGTAACATCCGCCTTTGTCTTGCATCACAAATCGTTCAGTAAGAAACTTAGTTCTTAACATAGTCACGTCATATTCACATAATTTATTTGCCAGTTTTCGACATGTCACTAATTGTAAAACAAATTTTCACGTTATTCTTTATAGCGTTTTTTGCATTTTTTGTTATCGATATTTATTCCTGCATTGCCTACAGAATTCTCTTCTTTTTTTGCAGAAAAATGGCATCGTTACCGACTTAGTCAGTTTTTATAGTTTGCCTTCTACAGTAATGCATCATCCGTCGTACAAAAACCTGAAAGCGGCCTATTCGTTCTACAATGCAGCCACGGCTACATCGTTGACAGAATTGATGACCGATGCATTGATTGTTGCCAAGAATGTAACGTGCTGTTTATTGTTTGAAAAAATGAGTGATAACAATCAACTATGACCAGACCTACCTCTTTCAGGAAAATTACGACGTGTTTAACGCGCTAGATTTAATGAACAACTCAGAGTTTCTTGAAAAGCTGAAGTTTGGCATCGGCGACGGCAATCTTCAATATTATCTCTTCAATTGGAAGTGTCATGAAATGGCACCGCAGAAGGTGAGACGCAGGCAACGCTTGACGAGCCTTCCTACAGACTGTGTTGCTTTTTCCATTTCAGATTGGCTTGGTGCTCCAGTGACGCGGTTTGCTGCCTCAAAATCATGAAGTCGTTGGTTGTTTCGCAAGGACGGTGGTTTTTTTACTGCGGAGAAGTATCTTGGCCATTTCGTTGGATAAGCCTTTTGATTATCTCTTATTTTCGCAGTATGTCACCATTCATAATCGACTGTGCTTGTTTTTAATTAAAAATCTAAGGTTCGTTATAACGACGTTTCGAGCTAAGGTTACAGAGTTACCGGAACATTTTAAGGGTG